ATTGGTGTCAAGTTTACCGGTCGACCTCTTCGCCGGGTTTTCTGTACGAGAAGGGATTAACGCAGAGGCAAAGTTCAGGGAAGCTTTTGGTGAAGAGTTACAGAATTCAATGTGCGTTTTCACGGACGCCTCAAGGTCGGAGGGGGCTCCGTGTTCGGGTTACGCGCTGGTCTCTCAGGATGGACGTTATGTGCGTCGTTACAAGTCGGTGGGCTTCGTCTCCTCGTTTTGCGTGGAAGCCATGGCCATTGTCGAGGCTTTGGAGCTGGCACGAACGGAGGGGTGGCGGTCGGTTGCAATTTTCTCAGACTCAAGGTCAGTTCTCTCAGCGGTACAGGCTAAGTTCGTTCCGGGCAAAAGCTCGTACCTCGTGCTCCGGATCAAGTCTTTGGTCCTGGGGTTAACTGAACGGGGGGTGCGGGTAAAGTTGGTGTGGATTCCTAGTCACTGTGGAGTGGCGGGCAATGAACGGGCGGATGCCCTTGCTAGGGACGCGGTGGTGTGCGGAAGGAACTCCCAGGTGGGCGTCCTCCTGGGTGAAGTTAAGAATTTCTGGAAAGCAAAGGCAAGATCAGAGCTGTTGGAATGGTGTCGAGAAGAATCCAGAACTAGGGGTAGCTATTATTGCGGTCAGTTTTTGACCGATGCCCGAAGACCTTGGTTTGAGCAGTTGAACCTAAGCCGCAGGGCGGTGACCTCCCTCGATCGCCTTCGTAGCGGGCACACTTCCTTGCGCGCGAGCCTTTACAGATTCAGGATCGTGGGCTCCCCCTTTTGTCAAACGTGCGGCCTTGAAGAAACACCAAACCATATTTTCTGGGAGTGCTCAGAATATGATAACCAAAGAAAGCTGTTACGGTCTGCCCTGGTCCGCGTAGTCGGACACCTCCCTCACCCAGTCGAATTCCTGTTATCCTGTCTGGATAATGTGGTGACGGCAATAGTTTGCAGGTTTATATGTTCTTTACCTATTTACATTTAAAAGTTAGTTTAAGACGTCTTGAACTCATTGTAATTGTTTCGTTTACGTCCGTGAGTGTCTGTTTAGACAGTTGTAATGAGTGGTAACTTTCGTTAGTTACCGTCCGCCACGGTAAGAGTCAGCTTTTATTTAGTTTTATCAATGTAGGAGACATTACTTCATTTGTTTTCTGATCACCTGACTCTCGCTACAGTGGGATTAGTAGTTTTAGTTTGTTTTGTTCTCTTATGTCATGGGTAGCTACTCCTTCTTTAGGGAGTCGTGTACGTATAATCACTAGGATAACTTTGTAATTTTAAGTTGCTTCAGACCCGATTCCGGTAGTTTCTGTGTTTTGTTAATTTTAATTTGATTTAACTGTTAGTTTTTAGTTTTTGTTGCGGGGTTAACGAAGCTTAAACTTTGTACCTCTCGGTGCATTGTTGCGTCTACCTCGGTGCGATAAACGTGTACAAACCTTTAGCTTTAAG